TCCATATTGTCTCTCAATCATTCACCTGCACCGTAAATCTTCATCTTCATCTTATGCAAAAGTGCCACCACCATTTGGATAATAAGCCAGTATTCATCAGTTTTAAGGCAACATCATCATTTCCCATTATGTAAGGGGTACATTTGAGTTTTGAAAAGATTATTGCACCCAAATCACCGGTCGGAATATCTCAAGGCATGAGTCTCAAAAGAATCCAAACAATTCATTCATATATCGATCCATACTTTAAAAATAGCCGACTCAAATATCTCAAGAAAAAAGGAAGACAGAAATACCCCCTTACAAACATTGACTGCTTGAAAAATCTCAAAAATATGACTAGGACACTCCTTAATGCTGGAATATGGCCACATTGCACTATGCAATATGGTTCAATCAATCAATAAGTCAATCAATCATCGTCATTATCATCATCATCATCTAAGCCTTATCCCAATGATTTGAGGTCGGCTACATGAACCATATTCCTCTATTCATCTCTATCAAGGGCCATACCCTCAGTAAGACCAAAAATCACATATATTTTCTCACTATTTCTATCCATGTCCTTTTGGGCATTCTCTTGATGGTGATGGAAGTGATGGTGACGGTGACGGTGACGGTGACGGTGACTGTGATGGTGACGGTGACGGTGACGGTGATGGTGATGATGATAATGATGATGATGATGATAATGATGATGATGGCAATGATAATGATGATGATGCCCTGCCTCAACAAGGATCAATACCCAATTTCATTCCTTCTGTATAATCACTCAAGGGTGACGTTCGAGTAAGGTTACAGCTTTACAAAAAGAAAGTAAGCTGCATCACAAAACCGCACCAAGAAATACAGTTCCAGTGCTGAAAAGTCCTATTATGGCCTCAAAATCTATTTTGATCCTTGATTATTATATTTGAACCTCCAAAAATGGGGCTGATCTTTGTGAACAATTTGAAAATAGACAGTCTGGATACTATGTTACAATATACACTATCTTTAGGGCTTGAAATCCTTTTTTCTTTTTTTCAGATCTATAATTGTTGAGGTCAACATATGAACTTCAAGGTTTCTTGGGCACCAAAAGAACCTTTTCAGGTGAGATTTGAGCCACGGCTTCCGAAGCCGCGACTCTATGCTAACCTTTTACATTACACTATCCATGATCAACATATTAATCAAAAGTTTCATCAATAGCAGCAGCAAGAAGCTATATAAAAGCCATTTTACTTCTGCTTCATAATTTTGATTCGCACAGACAGCCAGGACTAAAGCAAAAAAGCGACAAGAATACATGGACCATCCACACTTATCACTATAGAATGTATATCAGTACATAGATGATGAATTCAATTTACATTTCAGCAGCAAAAGATTTACCACATCCACAGGTCTGACTGGCATTAGGATTTTTGAATGCGAAACCTCCACCTATGAGGGCATCACTGAAATCCAATTGCATCCCAAAAAGGAAGAGAAGGCTCTTGGGGTCACAAACTGTACCAAAACATCAAGAGATCAAATTAACATGGTGACAAAATTTCCATTGGTTTTGAATATCTTGCAATATTAATCTTAATATTTCGAACCTTCAAAAAACAAGCATTCTTAGAATTTTATCAATTTTGATTTTTTATGTTTTTAATTGCTTTTTCTTTCCTACGAAAACAACCAACTTAGCAATAACAACAAAGAAAATCAAAAGGAACCACATAACCTGAAGAAGAAAAAAAAAGTCTGTACAATTATATGAAAATCAGTAAAGAAAAGGGAACACAGATAGCTCAATGGTGATATATTATTTTGCAAGCATAGAGAAAATCTTCAGCTGCCCATTGTCAAAGTCAAAGAACAAAAAGATAAGGTAGAAAAAGGACAAATCTATGATATGTTCCTCATATGATGCTTGAATGGAACAAATCTGTTTAAAAACCTGCATTTACTTACTATTAAACAGTACAGATAACATATGCTAGTCTCCATATTCTGATGTCTGACCTAGTTAATTGAGAGAGAGCACATAGAACTTGATTATGTGTGTGTATGTAAAATATGTTAGTCTCCATATTCTGACCTAGCTAATTAAGAGAGAGCACATAATCAAGTTTTATGTGCTCTCTCTTAATTAGCTAGGTCAGATTATGGAGACTAGCATATGTTACATGCACACACTTGAGTATAAGGGGCCGTCACTTGGTGTGATGATAAAAGGCTCGCGTAGCCAGCGCAAAAGCGCAGGTTCGAGTCCTGAGAGCAGCCACTTTGTGCATAAAAAGCCAAAAGTTATGACCGTTTCCATCTCACCCCTCCCAGGACCTTGCATAGGCGGGACCAGCACCGGGTTATGGCCCTTACATAAAACTTGAGTACGTGTCTGTGTGCATCACAGATTGCGAGAGAGAGAGAGAGAGAGAGAGAGCATAGAGAAGACAAAAAGGTTTGATTAGGTTTATTAAAATATACAGGCGCACATCCATGCATGCCGAAAGTTACACATGTTGTTGAAGATGCATCAAATGGAGCATTTCTATTGGACACATGAAATTGACACACATAGTAAAAACTGAGGGCACATAACTGGAAAAGAATGTGGAAATACACGCATGGCAGTGTGTAAGCGTGCACACCGTGAGAGAGAGAGAGAGAGAGAGAGGTAGGGCCAATAGTTAGGCTTTAAAACTGTAGGCCCAAGGAAAATTATTGAGGAGGAAGGAACTTACCAATTGTAAATCCATTATACTCAATTATCGAGTCGTCAGGCCTCGCATTCGCTCGATTCTCAAAGTCCATGGTGTAAGACATTCCAGAACATCCCCCTTGCCTCACCCCAATTCTTAAACATAAATCTTCATTTTTCTCAGATCTCATCCTGTTCAAATGCTTCAGCGCATTATCAGTCAATGAGATTGCAGGCTTGACCTCACCAGATGTTGTAGCTGAATATTTGAAAAATAAAAGGTCATTTTTAATAGCCATTACCTATTTAGAATCTCTCTCCAAAGCATACAAATAAATGTTTTTTTCTGTGTAAGAATATATAAAGTAAGGTTCAATAGCAGCTGTTGAATGGTTAACAAGATTTGGAGGAGTATACCACAAAAGTGGCGCTATTTACTCAGTATTCCAATACACGATGTTATTCTGTACCTATCTTCTATATGTAAAGCAGATGATGATTTTCAAATGGTTGGCATTACATGCATAAGGCTCCAAATAAAGTAGCCTCCTTTGTGTAGGTTGCCCCTTTCAACAAATTTTACAAACCTTGGTTAATAAATCCCTACTTTCCTGCATAACTAATGTCTATCAGAATTTTTCGTGCAATCTTCTTGTTTTTTTTTTTGGAAATACAATTGAACTCCTCCTCCTCTGCGCAATATATTATAGTGTTCATTTCTTTCTTTGACAGTGGGCTCTAATGAGGATGTTAAGGGCTCAAACCTTTGATGTTCATTCTAAAGCAAAAGGAAGCTAACCTACCCAAACTTATCCCAACCCCACCCCCCAACAAAAAGAAGAAGAAGAATCTAAAGCTCATGTCTCCCAATGTTATCTAGGGTGTAGGATATATTATTTAAGGAAGAAACTTGTGATCATAGAGGCTAGCTAAGTGGATCTGGGACATCAGCAAATTATTGATAGACTTGGTTTCTAGGGGCACGAGTACTTATCCACGGTTAGTGACTTCACATGTTGATGAAAGAATAAATGCAGATATTTCCGTAGAGTCCATCATATGTTCTTTGTATCCTAACTGAAGCAGTTTTCTAAAAAGAGTCATATAATATGTAATTTTGCAAGCTATAGAGCTCTGAGAACTACAGCTACTAGATTTCCAAGTAGAATACATGTTCTACTACATCTTTTGTGTTGCATTTCACTTGAATTAGCCTATATTTATTAGAAACTAATTTGCTCTTTTTGGTTTCAATATTCCTAATTTTCCTCTTAGTAACCATTCACTTCGTTTAGAGAAATCTCAAATTGCTAGAACTATGTGTAGCTTCCACGTCAATCAGTTTGAATGTTATAAATATACTGTTCATTAATAAATCATCACAAGGTCAACTCAGTTATTTCCAAATATCCGTCTTATTGCTATCATGAATCCATTGCATATTTCTTTTTTTGTTTTTTTGTTTCTTACGCAACTCATAACATTGTATTATTGTCTGTATAACATCTTACATGAATTCAAGTATCCAATCAATGAAACACTTATTTGATTGAGTACTTAGGCTCCGGCATCTAGGTCAAAGTGAAGGTGCTAAAGCTTCGACCTTTTTTGGCAAAACCAGATCTACTCTGTTCAAAGAGGATACAAGGGCAAACAAGAATGGAACCTCATATACTTCTGTATATGAATTCAACCAAATAATGTCAACCTAAAGAAGATCATAACATTCAAAAAAATAAACATGCACAATATAGGTTCTAGAAGATGAAATAGGTGGGGGTAAAAAGAAGGTGAAATGGTAAAGTAAAATCCTGAAAATGGGTGAGGAAACAGGGTATTGAAACTTGAAATTGACATTGTTCCGGAAATGAGAAGCATTTAAAAAACTATACTAAAACATGCATGAGGAAAGTGAATCATACTATATTAGAGAAATGGATTGAATGCATTTTGCTCCATCGTTTCTCTAACTGATACCATTAGAATTTCAAGAAACAGGGGTGCAATTGCAAGGGAAGGGGAGGCAAAACCTCCTCCACAAAAGACTGAAGATATAGATAACAAGGAAAGAGAAAAGGAAAATAGAGGTTCAAGATGGCAACATGATTTCTCACTGCTAAAACCATTTCTACAAAAGAAAAGGAATTCCCCATTAAAAGAGTTTCAATACGGTACAACAAATTTAATTCCTTAATAAAATATCATTCATTAATTATCAAAATGATCAAGAAAGACAGTTAAATCAATAACAATCATAAGAAACAAAGGAGAATTTCAGTATTGTAGCATAACTATGACGCAGCAAAATTAATTTTATTTTCTTTACGCAACAAATTTAATTCCTCAATAAAATATCATTCATTAATTATCAAAAAGTAGTCCCTTCAATCTTATTTCAACTTGTTTCTACAAATTGATAACTAACCTCTGGTTCTGAGTCAGATATTTTCAAAGATGGAATACAAAAACAACTCAGGGAAATTAAATAAATAAAATCGAAATATAAGCCAATAAAACAACAGAAAAACAAGAAAACCCATGTTTTCTATCGAACAAAAAGAATCAATTTTGTACAAAAAAAGATTGCAGAGAAAAGAAAAATAACGATAAAAACTAAATTAAACCCAATAAACAAAAAGGAAAGAAACCCATGTTTCTAGTGAAAAGCAAAACCCGTACCTGTTACTGAACTCGCTTTAATGGAGATGGGTTTCCTCATATTGCCAAAAGAGACCGATTGTCTCAAAATAGGAGTTTGGGTTCTCTTACAAAGGGCAGATTTTCGCAATTCGTGGCAGATGGTCGAAGATGAAGACAGAGAAAAAGCCATAGCTACTCAGGAACCAGAAGTCTCCCCCTCCCTCCCTCTAGATTTTTCACCTGAACAAATCAAAAATACAACCACCAAAAACTTATGGTATCTGGGCCTAGGTTGAAATTTGAATACTTATATGGGAAAAATAATTCCATCTGCAATAAGGTTGAGGTTTGTATAAGGGTCAACTTTATATTATTGAAGTAAAATGCACCTCAAAACTATATTTAAAATACAGTCTTTTTCGGTCAAAGCCCTGTAATGAAATGAGAATCTATGGTTGCCCGGCCTTTGTATGAAATGTAAAATTTCAAAAATTGTAATAATTAGAAAGATTTATAAATATTTGAAAATTTTAATAATAGACCGTTTAGATAATGTGTTAAAAAATAAACTATTTTAAGAATTAAAAATACCTTGTAAATTTTGAGATGACGATTGATTTGAAGATTTTTTAATATAAAAACAACCTTCTCTAAAGGTTTATTTAGGTGCATCTTACTCGTACATTGACACTATATAAACTTTTTCCCTATTCTCGGTGTAAAATTTGACCCTGTGAATTTTCTCTTTACTTTGAAAGTTTGAGTAAGAAAAGGTACTCCGCTGGAGCACAAGAGGCGTGCCAGAAATATTTTTATAATCCAAAATAGTGGGATCCACTTTAGAACAAAGAGAGGAGTAATTCCAAGATAAAACAATTTGATTTTTGGTTTACTGAAATTTGACACTTACATTGACTAACCAATTATGTCAATTCAATATTAGGGTTTTATTTTAGCATTAGGATATTATTTTTCTAGGGCATTGTTACCAAGACCATGCCAAATCAGTGCTTCGACCGGTTGGATCATTGACTAGTAGTGTCTTTGCCGGTATTGTCTAGAGTAAAAATTAAGTGCGATAAAAAACATGTTAAAATCAGTATTTAATTGATTTTATATGGTCTAAGCAGTCAGCTTTGAAACTATTATATTATATATTTTTCAACTGGTTGAACAAAATATGGCAGCTTTTTAATATATTATATATTTGTAAATTATTATTTAAAATTTTTAAAATGTGGTTAAACCAAATCGACCATCAATGAATCCAATTTTGACTGAACTAGATCTTCCCCAGTCAAGGGGAGGTCCAATCTTGCTTGAGGTATGTATATTGGACCAATGAAAAAAATTTACATTACGGGTAAATAAATATGGACATGGTTTTCGTGAGTCAGCTGACTCACTTATTATTGTGCGGTCCCTTGTCTATCTAATGCCCATCTCTAAGATGTATGTCAAAAAATGTTATATCCAGCTAAAGTTAAAATGGGGAAAAGAAATTCAAAAGCCAACATTTATATATTTTGAATTTAAAAATATATATATATATTAGATTACTATCGTGGTTGAGATCATCGAACCCAAAAATTTTGAATTGAAAATACATATTTGAGGTACATTTTGTAAGGAGACCGCACAAAAATAGTGTTTGTCGGCCGACACACCAAACGCTTTCACAATAAAAAGTGGATGTTACATCCTAAAATTTGGGTGCGTTCCTCATAGTCGTAAATAGATTTTTACTCAAGGGGTTGGAGTGAAAGCATACTATGGTCCATTATGATAAAGTAACTAGTGTTATCACCATCCAATCAATAGATGGACGGTGAAGATGAGATAGTATATTTATATGACCATGTCACCCAAGTGGATGGTCCCATTCTTTTCATTAGCATCCATCATTTGATTTATAGAAAAGGCAAGCTTTTAATGACATTATTTACCTTTGATACAAGGAGGTCACAATCATTACTGAGCGTTAAATGTAAGATTGGGCTAGTAGAGATGTCTGTCGATCGAGTTCAATGTCCAAACAAAATTATTTGTCGAACTTTGTAACACACTCCAAGGTGTCAAATCTCACATTTGATGGCTGCGTAATTGTCACTTCCTTGTACCAAAGTAAATGATATTGTAGAATACAACCCCTCGATTCATTTAATAAATGAGGGGACAAATTTTTTGCCACGAGAGTTCATTTGCTTTTGATATAAGGAGGTCTCCGTCGTTAGTGGATATGAAATCAAGTGGTTGAGGATGGGATTGATTGAACACAAAGTCCAAATAAAATTTCTTGAATGTTGCGATATACTTCAGTCTACTGGATTTCACATCCACTGGCTAAAAGTGATCGTGACCTCCTCGTACTAAAATTAAATGACCTCATAGTATACAATCCCTAATTTTATTGGACTATGAGAATCATAGCATACTTTTGCAATGACTATGTCCCCCCTAATAATGTCTTAAAAGGCTATGCATGCCATTCAAATCAGTGTTCGTAAAATTGAATCGGAACGGTTAACTGGACATGAGCTTGGAAGCGGTTTAGCCGGTAGATTCAGCCATTCTAATCAGGCAAGTCCCAAGCGGTCAAGAAATTGTTAAAAAAATAAAAAAAAGATAAAAAAAAAAAAATCTACTAAAATATGAAAAGCATATAAAGAATCATTAAAACCAAATACATTTAAATAAAGTTGAAAATTGATGAAAAAAATAGATTTCAAGGAAACCATTTTTGAATTAAAGTGAGTATTAATGACCAAAATAATTTTTAATATTTACGATAATGTAAGACATTAAAAAATACATTTCAAACTAAATTCCTTATTTTTAGGAATTCATATAAAAAAATTTTAATATTTTTTTTAAAAAAATATCAGTCTATCACCAAAACCGCTCAAAATTGAAACCGGCCAATCTAACCGGGCAATTAGCGGTTAGACCACTTGGTTTTTCCAACAATGATTCAAATTGCTTTGCATCGAAAAGGTAAATGATAATTGTATCCACTGGTAGAGCTTTTCAAATGTCTCCACACGTTAAAATTTATATGGTTGGAGACTTAGTCATTCATTTTTTTATGAGATGGTTACGAGTAAGTCGACAATAATTTCACATGATAATTATAATTTGACAATGACAAATATTAATTTGTGTCGTTATGCAGTCCAAATTTTTCAATCAAAATTTCATTTCTGTTAGTTTTCAAAATGCATCCAAAAGATGTGTAGAGACAAGTACAACTCTTCCTTTTACTACATGTTGGCCCTAGCACCCGTGAATTATGATCGGAAAAGTTTGTATACTTATCATATATTCATTGTATACCGTTGATCTACCGCTCGTTCTCACTAACAGATGGAGATTAGCCGCTTTGTTAATCTCATATCGGCCTCCTTTAATGAGGATGGACAATGCGCACGTGCACACACAAATATACATGTGGTCTAACCGGTTCGACTATTGATCGAAGATCAAATCCCTTACCGATTCAACGGTCTGATCTTGTAATTATGCTTTGAATTTATATTGTACAATACTACCCAAGTACGATATTATGTATTTTTACTTTTATGACCGGTGGACTTGAATACATGTTCGTTAGAATAATTAGGGGGGACTATGTATACCCCCTGACCATACTTTCTAGGTGTAGTCTTCGCCATATTTTTTAAAGGAAAAAGTTTTTATAGAGCCGAGACTCTAAACAATCAAATTAGAGCTCACCTGGAAATTTTCACTAAAAGAGGTTGTTTTGATGCTCGAATATCGTCAAATTGATCATCTTGACATTAAGATGCATGGACATGAGAAAAAAACGGATTTCAAGTTTTGGAAATATTTCATCGTGTAACGCATTTTTGGACCGTCAATTTTCAAGATTTTCAAGATTTTCAAGTTTTCATAAATTTGCTCGATCTACACCATTTTTGAAGCTTTAAATTTTATAATTAAAGATGAAAATATATTCCATTTTTAAAGCTTTAAATTTTATAATTAAAGATGAAAATATATTTTAAGGCTATCACAGAGATTTCTAATATCGAACCACATTTTTCTATACTATTTGAAGGTATGCTTTACTTTTATTGTTTAGAGCCTCGGCAATATACAAACCACACCTTTTTTTTACTACACAACTATGATTTTTGTAGCCACCCCTAAGGAAGAAAATAGCTTTGTTTTGGACAAAAGTGCCCCATATATAAACCTATTATTCTCTATAAAAAATAGGTTTTTTTTTACTACACAACTATGATTTTTGTAGCCACCCCTAAGGAAGAAAATAGCTTTGTTTTGGACAAAAATGCCCCATATATAAACCTATTATTCTCTATTAAAAATAGGAATAATTTCTTTTTAAATTTTTTGAGATAGTTTCGCTCCAAAAATGCTTGAAATTTGAGATAGTTTATGTCTCAAAATTTGGAGATTATTTTTCTATGTAAAATTGAAATTAGATAATTTCTCTCTAGAAATTTAAAATAGTTTTTCTCTCTAAAATTTCAAATTTCAAGTTTTTAGACAGAGAAATGTGGGGTTGTACATGGGGGTTATTTTCATCCAAATCAAAATATTTTTTTCCTTGGTTTGACTACACAATAAATAGTAATTGAGTTGGTTGCGTGGTTTAAAAAGTATTGAGGAGAACCATTCCTAAAAAGTATGGTCCAAGGGAATACATAATCTTCCTAAAAATGTGTTTGACTATAAAAGTGAGATGCAACGCATTAGTTTCCACTCTATAATTGATATAAACAAATATTGAATATGAGTAATTATACCCCATATGGGTTTGAGTAGTATTTTAAAACCAGTTGATCCGTGTTAGAAATCACCGATCCGGACAAAAAATTGACGGGGACCGAACCAATTCCAAGAAAGCATTGGTCCCAACCAGAGTCCCTTGGAATGTAGTTCTTATACATATGAAGGGTGTGGTTTCCATAAGGTTGCAACATTAAACAATCCAACTAAAGTGAACCTTCAAATTTTATCATAATATATAATTTTGATGTAAAATGTTATTAGGATTATCTCAAAATATATTTTTATATCTAATTATAAAATTTTAAATTTAAAAAATAGTTAAAATCAAGTAGATCTATAAACATATAAAAATTTTGAAAAGTGGACGGTGCAGATAATATGTTGTAAGATGCATTATTTTTTAGACTCAAAATCTTTTTATTTTTCATAGTCATACATCTCGATATCGAGATGATCAACCACAGGGTTTTACAACATTAAGATAACCTTTTCCGATGGATTTTTGAAGTGCATCCGTAGTTCTACATTTTAAAGTTGCAACCTTATATAAACTTTTTCTATATATGAATGTTCTTATCAGTGTACTTGGAGTGATATGTATGTCTCAAACAAATGGGCACTCAAAGCACGCCTCCTCGACCACTTGTTGTTGCAAACAAGATCTCCTTCATAAATTCTAATTATACCATTCAAATGCCAACATTTATAAAAAGAAAAAAGAAAAAAAGGGATACTAAAATTTAGAAAAGCACTTAAATAGATTATATAAGCAATGAGGGCATGTTCTACATTTTATTTTTATAGCAAATTTCTATAAGTAATTTTATGACCCAAAACTTGGGATGTAGTCACCTCAACAACCTAAAAACAAAAGAAATGTTCATACACATTTTATAAAGGATGTCATAATCGTTCTTGCTCTTTGAATTTTAAAATGGTCGGTTGCAAAAGTTTCATTTAATAGACACAAAGTTTCAAAAACAAACTTTCACATTTCGTAACTCACCCCAAACCATCAAATATAACATGAATGAGAATAGTTGTAGATAAATGGTATTTTTATAGATAATCTCTGAATAAAACTACATGAATCGGACGATCTACTGTTTTGATGATCGCATCCATGTGATTAGAGTGACACCTTTTTTAAAAATTAAAAGATATGCTACTCCCGTAGAAGCATACTGTCCATTTTCATTCAAGTAAGCTTTAGCTAGGAGTATTTTTCAGACCCCTAATTTCGGGGATTTAACCTTTTGAGCCTAGCAACCCGCATCAAAGACAAAAAATTCAAAAAACACATTTTTTGTGTTTGAAAACATTAACATCCTAAGATTGAACATGAGGGCAAGAACTAAGGCGCATTTGGTACACCTGAAATTACTTTTAATGCATATGTAAAAGTATTTTCATGTGAAAAAACTCTATCATCTAATTTTGTGTTTGAATTTTTACATAATAATTGGCTGAAAATTAGTATGAAAAAATATATTAGGACTTCCTGATGTCAAAAAAACTCCTATACTTAATCACACGAGAGAGTTTTTTCATGTGAAAAATAGTTTTGCATAAATATTTCACTTGTTCCAAACGTGCCCTAAGTGTTAACGAACGTAAAATCTATTTGTTTTTTTCCCTGAAATAATCATCTAGTAATACTTTAGTGGATTTCAAAATTTCAAATCAGCAAAACCATGTTTTGCCAAAGAGCGCTACACACACTATTTTGAAAATTGACATTCAATATTCAAAATTTTGAAGGGCGAGAGCACAGTCTAAAAAACTGATAATTCAAAATTTTTCTTTTAAAAATAATCATCTAAGTGGTTCCCAAAATTTTAAACTGAAAAAGATCTCTAAAGGACTTTTGACTTAGAGAGTATATCCATAGTATGCTCTTGCAGGGGCATAGTATACGCACTCTTCAAGAAAATACTCCACGGATTATGCAGATCTAGGGATTAGCAGTTCTACATCTTTGATTCGCCAAATAAAAAATAAAAAATAAAAGGAAAGATAATACTGGGTGAGGGACTTAGTGTATACATTGTTCCCTCGTATGGTATTCACCGAACCTTCAAAATACTGTACAATCAGGTAAAACAAGTTTTTGAGCTATAATCTTGGGAATATTACCTTCAAAGATTATAGAACCTTGGCGCGGTAAACTCTTCTATGGTCTCAAGCAAGATCGACCAAAATATCCGTATTTTCATCTTTAATTCCAATTAGACTCAAATCCCAAATTTCATCCTAGATCCATATTCATAATTGAATTTATATATGACTAGTGAAAATCAAAGAAAACCACAAATATAAGTTTGTTCACGAAATTAAGATTCATCTAAATCCTACGTGATCCATCTCACATACTACCACGATAAACTAGCCATCTCATTCATATAAACCATAGTTGTCAAGACGAGATCGAACCGGGCCCTGACCAGACCGCCTGTTAGTACCATAACTTGTTTAATTTAGAGTAAAAATTGAGTTTGATAAAAATTCAATCAAAACCGGTGTTTGAGTAGCTTTGACGGATTTGACCCGCCAGATTCAACTGCTTCAATTATTTGTTTGCAACTTTTTCCCTCATATAAACATATTTTAATATAATTATGCATCATATTTCTTAATAATTTCAAAATCCAATTAAACCAATTTGACTCATAATCAGACTAGTTTTGATAGAACCAAACCCTTCAACCAAACCCCTCAACCGGTCCAATCTTGATCAGACTGATATAAACTATACAAGCCTCACCCTTAGCTGCATTGAGCATATCCTTATAATGTGCTTTATGTGTGTGATACACTTAATTTTAATATTATTAAGCCCCAAGGTGCGGTTTGTATAGAGCCGAGGCTCTAAACAATCAAAGTAGAGTGCACTTTCAAATAATGTTGAGAAATGTGATTTTAATACTGGAAGTCTTTATGATAACCTTTAAATATATTTTTATCCTCATTTATAAAATTTAAAGCTTAAAAATTGTGTAGACCGAACATATCTATGAGAACTTGAAAATTGACGTTCCAAAAATACATTACAAGACACTATTTTCAAAACTTGAAATCCATTTTTTTCTCATGGCCATGAATCTTGATGTCGAGATGATCAATTTGAAGATATTTAAGCATCAAACAACCTCTTCTAATAAGCTTTTCAAAAATGCATTACAAGATGCACTATTTTCAAAACTTGAAATCTATTTTTTTCTCCACGGCCATGCATCTTGATGTCGAGATGATCGATTTAAGGATATTTAAGTATCAAAACAACCTCTTCTAATAAACTTTTTGAGGTGGGTTTTAATTTGATTGTTTAGAGCCTTGGCTCTAGATAAACTTTTCCCTAAGCCTCAATGGACCAGCCGGTTTGGTTGGTTGGACTGCTAGCTAGACCAGTGGTTAAGTTAATCACTTAATATTATTTTCTTAATTATTATTTTTTTTGTGCCACAACAAAGGCAACAATAATAATAACAATCATTAATACAAACACCACCTTTAATATCCATTAAATCTGAGAAACAGCATTAGAACTGAGAAATTAGTCTTCATTCGGGTAGTATTTAATCATATACATATTTGCTCCCACAGCGAACTGGTGTTAAAAGGATTCACATTTTCTTCCTGCTACAGAAGAAACCCTGATATAGCTTCAGCCAGAAATTCAATTAGCAAATGGTGTAAAAACAACTACAAAAACAATAATAATAATAGAAGTGGTAGGTGGTGATAACCGAAATTTATCAAAATATAATTTATTTTTTAACTATCTAATATTTTACACATTTTCTACTATTCCAACTCAAAATCATGTGTATTTTGATAAGAATTTCGAAATCAAATCAAAGCATATGGGTAAATGTTAATCAGGCGTAATTTGACAAATTTTGCTAATAATAATAATAATAATAAGTTTAAAATTCTGAAATCCCACAAGCCTATTTATTTAAGAATGCTTACCTATCTTGTGAATTCAGTAACACGAGGTATAAAGGGTCATCTGAAGAAAGCTTGAACAGCTGGACTACAATGTATGTACATGTTGTAATGCTGCAAATATATATTTCAATTTCATTAGAGGTACAAATACACAATATCAATCATGGTTGTATTCTATATAAGACCATTCGTTTTCAGTACAAGTAGATCATAACTGCTCTTAGCCATTGGACATGAAATCTTACAGATTAAATTGTGTTAGAACATTCGAGAAATTTTATTTTGCTGTTTGCACCTACTCAATGACACGTCCCCAATCACTCGATTTCACATCTCACAGTCAATAATGATTGTGACATTCTTATATCAAAAACAAATGTTCTTATTGCATATATTACCAAATCAATATAGTAAAATGAACATGATCCCTACTTAGTTCCAGAACTAATGGTTGTGGAACCAATATATTAATCAAGAGCATGTATAATGTACTCCTATATAGGAATACACTATATACTCAGTACCTCAGGCAAAAGTCCTAGTTGATAGGATTTTGGCAGTCCAAAATATTGTTACACACTTTAGAATCATCAAATGAGTATCACAAAAGAAAAAAAGGATTTTAAGTTCTTGACACCTAGATCTAACTATGCACTTTAACCTTTAAAAAAATTGGTGGTCTGGCATCCACACGTAAATTTCGTCCTGTAATTTGTGGGATTATGGACCCCAAACTGGCAAAATGCTTTTATCTCATTGTAAGATCAATCGAAAGAAATACTGATTTGGAATCAAAATTCTCTTTATAACTGAATATGGACTATTCATATTGATGCACCTTAGATGTTGGGAATTTTGAGCTCAAATTCTTTCCTTTTTATGAAAAAAACAATAGATCTTAGAACGCATCAGATGATTTGAATAAATGCTATTTGACATATGGTCCCCTAAACAGATAATTTAGCTATGGACCAAATATACAGTTTGGTCCTGCTTCCTTTTTCTCATTTTTTTCACATAGATATTGGGATGCATCAAGGATAATCTGAAAAAAATTTCAGGAGACAAGATTACCCTAAATAGATGGTTCAGCTGCAAGACCAAATGTACAATTTGGTCTGGCAGTGGGCCTGGCTCTTAAAAATTAGTGTTTGGCCCATAAAACTTGGCTGGAAGGCCGGACTAGGGCCAGTAGTGGCCTGGTTCTGCCCGGCCCGCAGCCCATTGGCACCCTTAGTCCCGCAAGACAACCATATGCACGACATGTAAATACGCGAGTTCAACAGTTACCTGCCAAAACATATCAAAAGAATTATCAAAATCAATGAACTGAACCAAGATGCTTCCTTGTAGATAACCCAAGCCTGGAAGACAAAAGGACTATGAGAGATGCTTTGATTTGGTCAATTTGACAATAAAGAACCTATAATGGAAGCAAATTTTCATAAATAAAATATAAATAATCATAAACTCAATCACTTGGTTTCACATTCTTAGAAGCAATGCATAATATAAGCTAAGAGAAAATACAAATTCTCTCTCTCTCAGCAATCTTATGTTATAGAAGTATGTGTTTCTCAGAAATCCAGTAGTGAGTGATCCAAAGTTGGAAAACCTTCTAATTGATAATTTGGACTGGTCAAAAAAAAAAGAAAGAATTTCGAGTGCTAAAAATAATGCATCTTGTAAAAAGTTATATGGACTATCTATTTTCAAAATTTTCAAAGTGTTTATAAATCTACTAGATTGTATAGTTTTCAAAATTTTAAATTTTATAGGGCAATGATTTCATACAACCGTTGTATAGTAATATGATGCAACGAGTCTAAAAAACCATCTTATGACCATTTATATGATCCAAATTTCGAAATATACAATCTTTTCATTCTAATGAAGAATCACAACAAAAAAAAAAAATTGAAAACACAATCTAAAAAGTATGTTTTTAGCTCAATTAACATAGGCCGTTCAGAGATGGCCCCAGAAGGATTTTTTCATTTCCAATTTTTTTAGATGGCTTTATTATCATTAGATGAACAATGTTAAAAAAGAAAAAATTGATTTTAAGTTTATAAAAGCTAAGATCTTGAAATTCACAAAATGAATAGTCCATATTTGTTTTCGGAGGGGACTCATTTTGACTAGGATTCAAATTGAATTTTTTTTTTTTCTGGAGAGATTGATTATTGAAATGAAGAGAGTGTGTGTGCCAAATTTGAGGTCATACAAATATCTCAAACATAGTTTTCTAGAAGTGTCATTCCATTATATTATGATACAACCATTGCATTGGATCATTGCTCAATTTTATAAGCACGGTTGAAATTTTAGACCATCTTACTTAACGTAGGTACCTTATATAAACCTCGCCCTAAAACAATAATGGGGTTTTTCAACACTATCATCATTTTTGTGAAAACCTTTTTCCAATTAATTGGGATCGACTAATGTCATATTTTCGAATAACTATGTTCCATATAGTATGTAAACAGAAATTATGCCTCCACCAAATTTTGACCTAGCTTTCTCAAAGCAGGACAAAGAGAACAATTGAAATGCTAAATAGTGAATATCTACACTTCCACAAATTTCAAAAGAAGATAAAAAAATTGCTTTTTCTCTCTTCAATTTAACAAACATTTATTACAAATTGTAACAAAAAAAATATCAAAGATTCTAACTTATAAGTGATAATAATGAGGAAATACATACCGAAATGGCTGCAACATTCACATAGAAATCAACTAAGGTAGTAACCATCCACCTGAAAAAAAACAGAAAAAACAAATCAATTCCAATTTCCAAATAATATTCAAAATTTCAAACTATACTTGAAAATCATCAGAAAGATAGATATTAAGAGAGGAGAGAAATTAAAACAGAAATAGAGAGAGAGAGAGATTCAAACAGAAATTGAGAGATAAATTGAAGAGAGAGACCAAAAAATGGGGAGAGAGAATGAATTGGGGAGAAAGAACAAAAAAAAAGGAAAAAAAGGAGAGAGAGAACTGACGGAGTGAAAAGTGCCTTTCTGAAAGGAGTGCCATCGGTGATGATCGTATAGATAAGAGCCCCCAACATGATTAGCCCCAATATACTGAACACAAATCTTGCCGCTACAACACCACACCCCATTTATTCTTTATTTTTTGGTCAAAAATTAACCTCTTCTCTTTCTCTCTCTGCAAATCCTTAGTATCAAAAGGCTCCTTCTATCTTTCCATATATATATATATATATATATATATATATATATATATATATATATCCTTAATCATCAAAACGCTTTCTCTATCTTGAGTATCTAAGCTCTCCCTCCCTTTACCTGTCGAAAGGACTCCATGCGATAGTCGGTCCTCTAAGAATGCAAGGGGAAATCTAAACCGTCAATCTGGGTTTTGATAGACGCTATCGCTTGTCACACGTGGACTCTCTATGTCCATGAAAGAGGAGAACAGGGGCTTGGAATACGAAAAAAAAAAGAAAAAAAGGCATTTATCTAATTACCCTTCACTTTTGATACGTGTTCAGGGTCTCAATTATTTATAGGATAATGATCCTGTAGGATCTCCTTTCACTCATTTATGTAGGAACCCACAAGGTTATCATTAAAATTAATACGAATCTTTAGAAAATTTATCTACATAGGTATGAGACTTGACTTTTCTATAGATCTGTGTTTAATTTAATGATGATCTTTTGAGGTCCTACACATATGCGTGGAAGAGGGTCTTATAGGATTATTTCTCTTATTTATAACTATTCGATGTGAAATTTGATAGCCTAGATGTATCACAAAGGTCGAATTTTTTTTTTTTAGAAGTTTGAGCTTGATCAATGACATTGTTCGTGGATCATGGGCAGCCTTAAAGACTTGTACCAATGGCTCCAACCGGTCACCCACCCGTCTCCGTTGGAATCACTAACTAAATAAATTGTTTTAATTTAGCATTTTAGAATTGGAAAAAGTCCATATAATTATGAGGCTCTAAACTATCAAATTAAAACTCACATAAAAATTTCATAAAAAAATGGCATTTCGATGCTAAAAGTTCTCAATTCGATCATCTCAACCTCAAGATGTATAAACATGAGAAGCAAAAAAGTTTTCAAGTATTGACAATAGTGCATCTTGATATGTATTACCTAGACCATCAATTTTCAAGACTTTCAAGTGTTCATAGATATGCTCGAACTACACTATTTTTGTACATTAAATTTTATTATTAGAGATAAAAATAAATTTTCAGGACATCATAAAGATTTTTAATATTAAAACAACATATTTCAGTACTATTTAAACGTGCGCTCTACCTTGATTGTTTAGAGCCTCAACTTTATACAAACCACACTTTTTAGAATTTGCTTGGTTGGCCAAATTAGCCACCCAAAAATTCGGTCCAGACTAGTGAATAGGATTCGATTCTGCATAGTGTAAACATGGGTCCCAAATAACTCAAACGGTACTTTAATTTTAAAAGATACAAATTCTGAAAATATTATAGTAGAAATTTGAAGAACCAAAAGCATAAAATGAGAGAAGTAACTGGGGGTGTTAAACACAAGAATCACCTAGAAGAAAAAAAAAAAAAATGAAAAAAAGAAAATAAAATAAGGGGGGTTTATTGGAGACTGATACTTAGTCGAAACCAGACCGGTCCTAGCAATTCCCAAACTAGATCGGACGATTCTCTATTTGTATCATATTTATATAAGGGTGAGGCTCTCAACAATCAAATTAAAGCATACATCAAAAAATCATTAGAAGAGGTTGTTTTGATGTCCAAAAATCCTCAAATCGATCATCTCGACCTTAAGATATATGGACATAAGAAAAAATGGATTTCAAGTCTTCAAAATATTCCTTTTGTTTCTAAATCGTCAATTTTCAAGATTTTTAGTGTTTATAAATCTGCTCGATCTACATTATTTTTAAAGCTTTAATTTTACCAGGAAAATATTGTGAGAACCTCCCATACTCATGTGTGTAGGACTTCAAAAGATCACTACTAAATTTGGTACAGATCTTTAGAAAAGTCAAGTCCCACACCCATACGATAACTTTCTAAAAATCTGTGTCAAATTTAATAGTGATCATTTGGGGTCCTACACACATAAATATAGGATGATCTTATAGGATCATTACTCAGTTTATTATTAGAGATTTTCAGGCCATCATAAAAAAAAATTGTATTTAAACACCTTTTGACACTATTTGAAGGTGCGTGTTACAGGGATTCAGTATTATTATATAAACCACACCCATTTTAAGATACCGGTTTACCCAAGGCTAGATCTAGATTAGTATTTTTAGAAGCAGTTTGGTTAGCAAACAAGTGAAGGGTTTGGTCCGACAAAGCTGCCAAAATAAGCAGTAGCGTCTTTCAAGATGTACTTAAAAAATTAAAAGTAAATACAAATAGTAAAGTACTACAACTAAAAGAGAATGCTTTCTATGTTTTCCCGACAACATAGAAGTTCTATCATCCTTTTTATTCAACCATTTGTTTTTTAATGGAGGGTTAAGATTGCCCCAATCACAATGTCACGTCTCTAACTTATTTTATTTTTAATTTTTTTTTTATAAACTATTTTTACACCAAAATTTGGATGTCCATTCCTCTATTAAACTCGCACTAACGAAAAACATATAAAAAAATATTTTCAATAAAATAAAATGATCAAAATACCCCTTAAAGTTTAAAGGGGTATTTTAGTCACTATATTTTTATCGAAAAAATATTGTTAATATTTTTTATAGGTGCGCCCTAATGAGGAGATGGCACATACCAAATTTCATATTCGGAAAAATTGTATTAAAAAAAACTAAAAATAAAATACTTTGAAATGTCGGATCTAAGATCAAATGGTGTGTGGCTCTCTTGATAAAAAATGAACGGCTGGATGGTAGAGGGAGGATAGAACTTCTATGTTATAGGGGAAACATAGAATGCTTTCCCCAACTAAAATTATCCAAACTTATTTAGTTGGTTCCACTGGCCAAAACTAGTCATTTATTTTGAGCAGTTGAATAGGTTTAACTTTTTAACCAACTTTTGGTTTGAATCCAAAATGCCAAATGCATTGGTGGCTCTGCCCAACCTATAAGAGTAGCCATTCCATGTCAAATCCTAATTACTTTATTTCTATACTTCATGCATGCTTTGATTAATGGGTGAATTAGCCGATTAGTATTTATTAAAAAACAATCAATTAGGATTCTATAGGTCGGATGTCTATGCAGTTTTATAGGAGCATATTGTACACTTACTCCTTTAAGTGAAACCTAATCCAGTAATATTTTTAGTACTCTTAACGTTTGGATGCAACATCTGCAATCCAGATATTTATCTAAGTAAAAGGATTACCAAAACAAGGTCATGGTTTTTTATTGCAATGTGTCCACGCAATCTCCACCGTCCAACCAAGTTGGATGGTTGGGATCCTGTGCGGGCTAGGCAGCCCCCACAAAGCAATTTACCAAAAAATAATGTCCCAACCTTGAATAAAAACTATATGACTCTAAGTGTTGAAAAACTTAAAATCCAATTTTTTTTTCTTTGGAAGCAATCATATAGTGGTTTCCAGATGGATCCCAAAATTTCCATTTGAATAAATTTCCGCAAGTAGCTCTTCCGCCCAAGGGAGCAAGCGAGCATAGGATATGTGCTCCCGAGGGTGCATAGTTGAAGGGTACTTAAAAATAAATAAAAGACTAAAAAATGGCTTTGTTTCTCAAAAAAAAAATAAAAAGACTTCAAAATGGGTTTCCTCACAAGGACTGAGAAGGTGGCTTTAGCCTGCTCTACTTCATTAATATGGGACCCATGTACACGTGGCATTAAATGGTAGGATGCCCTAGGTAAATGGCGGTCGCTAATTGGTGAATAAGTGCGCCCAAAATTTCTTTTTAATGGGTTCCTTAGGTGGACCTCATCCTCGTAAGTTGCAGTAGATGGAAGCATGTCCAAAAAGTACATATTGGTGTGTTTTAAAATCTAGATCTGTGGCGTAGATTGTTCACCTACATATATATCCATATTGGATCGTTGGATCAATGATTCTCATCAAGTTTGGATCACTCATAATTGATGATCTAACAAATATTATACAATAAATAAAATAAAATGAAAATTAGAATACGGTTTGGTGTGGGGATTTAAAGGGGCCTAAAAAAGTATATAATAAAAAAAAAGGGGGGTTTTAGGGGGGAACTAGAAGGGGATTCATTCCATCCCAAAACCGGTTCGATCTCAACCAATTTCCATCTAAATCAGCGGTCTAGATCAGTGATCACTGAGTTCTAAAATATTGGTCCATATTGACCAGAACCAGATCCTTAGTGGGCCAACGCAAACTAGCCATTCTCCTGGCTTAATAACATAAAACTATTACAAGTAATTTGCATGGAAATTGGATCCATATCTCAGTAATGTCTGATCTCTATCAGACCGCCTAATTTTTTTTATAAATGTAGATAATTCTCTCTAAATCAAATAGATTCCCTATTTCTTACGAGAATCAAATTTACCCTCACACTAATTTTGATCTGGATCGCTGATTCTTAATCTGAATAAATAATTTTTAAATCCCTCGATTCAAGTGAAGAATGAGGGGCCAAAAACATGGGTATTACACGTACCCCATGATTGGGGTGTAAATGAACAATTCACATGCAGCAAATGAATGATGGGAGGCCGGTATTAGTGAAACTGCCAAAGCATGAGAACTCAGCTGTCACTCATTCGTATATAATTGGACCCAAAAATTCATAATTAAATGACTCTACCTCAACATGGGAGGAGGTTAAACATCGAGGGGTGAAACACTAAAAAAACCTCATTCAGCTTATATTTTCACTCAGCCTATATCACTGGAGGGGGTGAAAGATTGAAGAAGCGATGTAGCTTATATTTTTAGAATGATGAATAATACATAAGGTTTTAGGCTATATAGAGCTATATTGGGATATTAAAGTAGACGGCAACTTTACTTGTATCGTTAGGATTTGATAGCCCTCTTAAATGCAGAAACAATAATTCGTAACTTACATCATAGTTTTGCGTGTCCAGGAATGGGCATCTCTATTCGCTTTGAGAGGAATCGAGACTCTCTTTCATTAAAAAGAAAAACCACCCAAATTTTTTGTGGAAACTACTCCTTATCGAATCGAGATTCTCTTCCACTAAAAAGAAAAATCACCCAAAATTTCCTAAGGAACCACTTCAAGCTGTCTTTCCATCTAGAGCAATAACATAGTAATATTTCAAGAGGTTCTAGTAACGTTGCACGAGGTAAGAGGTAAGAACCATACTAATGGTAAGAACCATAACAATGTTTCAAGAGGTAAGAACCATAGTAATGTTTCAAGAAGAAAAATGTTTATTTATGTATGATTACCTAATGACGGTTTATTCAAGTAAATTCCATAAAATTTTAATTAATTTTTTTCATAAAATATTTATTTTAATTATTTATATAGGATAATTTCTAAATTTTAAGAAAAGAATGATGGTTTGGTTCTACTGAAAATATAATGGGAGACCATTTTAAATAGATGGGATACATTGGAGACCGACCACCTAGCATATTAGGAGTAGACCGACCACACAGCATATAGAATAATACAAGAATCTTACAATTGCCGTAGTTGGATTCTATATAGAGTCCCTCTACTCGATTTAATTTTTATTGGACAACGATCATGTGCTATGAATTTAATAAGAACAAGAGAAAGAATAAAAAAAAAAAACAAGATCCATATCATGGAGTTTTCATGCATTTCATCGTATTTGCCTATTTAATCTTAAGACTTTTCGTGTATCGCTCTTAGCTGTTTTAAGAGTAAGGTTAAGGTTTTTTAGGTTGGAAGGAATCTTGTAGTTTTCTTGAATTACGGTTAAGGTTTTTAAGGTTGAAGGGTAAAATTTAATATGGCGAATTAGGGTTAGGGCTAACATACCTAGTTTTGAACCCTAAAATGGCAGGAAAAAGCTCACTTTATAGAGTCCAGTTGGAGTAAATACCCTATACAAGTTCCATCGCAATTTGTTACCCATACCGATAACTAAGAAATGATTTTATCCATTTTCCCCGGCAACAATACCATATATAAATAGAGGGTTGGGCCCTGCTTTATTTTAAAATTTTTTCTATAGATCATTTTGACAAAAAAATTTCAGTGTGCCCACTTCCTATAGTGGTGGACCTAATAAAAATGAAAAGATTTTTTATAATACAAAATGTCCAAAATACCTAGAAATTTCCAAGGCTCTTTTGGTCATCTGTTTTTACTAAAATATTTTTTTTTATTTTTATTAGCTGCACCCCTATAAGATGGGCACACCTCAAGATTCGTCAAAAACAATTTATAAAATAAAAAACTGAAAATCAAATATAATTCACTTCAAATTATTTGATCAAGATTAAATTCAAATTATTTAATCAAGATTAGATGCCTGTATACTAACTTTAACATTCACCATTTGACAAACTGCCATACATGTTTCCCTTAAGAAAATGCTTTAATGTTTTTTTACCTCATCCTTATAAAAAAAATTGCTCTTCGGTTGATTTTACAGTAAACCCCTAATTTTCATATCAAACTCCATTAGGTATTTAGCGAGGTCGCTACATACCCATAGGAGTACCTTCACATACCCAAAAATACAATGCCAAATAACATTTCCTTCTCTCCATATACCCATAACCTTCACATGCCCAAAAATACAATCAGATAACAATTCTCTCTCTTTATCAGGATTACTTAGGGGACTGCTCTCTCTCTCAGCTGAATTAAAGAACAAACCACATATTCAAAAACAGAAGATCCAAAGGTGTTTCCACCTCTCAAATTTCAAACAGAGCCCCAAAATGATATCTGATCCATACACAAAATTTATATGTTCCATCTCTGCAAATATGAATAAAAAAATGTGCATCACCCAAAATCAAACCAGCATTTGGTGTTCTACAATTCAACAGTTACAAGAGGGAGGGCCCCAAAAAAAGATGGTGAGTGTACATTTGGTACATTAGAACAAAAGAAATGGCCACCAATAATTATGACATTGAAAAAAAGAAAAGAAAAGAAAAAGAACAAACAGAAACAGAGTGCAAATCAAAAATACGGGAACAAAATAAAGAGGGTAAGGAAAACAATAGAGATGAATTTCCACCCAAAAAAAGAATGAAAAAGCCACGTGTTCCTCGAAGGGCTCTCTCGTCAAAGTCAGCAAGCACAGCCCCCCCTTTGCTCATTCTCAGAAACAGCCTCCGGGATGCTCTGAAAGTAACTGCAGGAAAACAAGAAAACAGTGAAGTTTTAATACCAGACATTAAAATACGCAAAATAGCAATACCAGCACGCACGAGAGAGAGAGAGAGAGAGAGAGAGAGAGAGAGAGAGAG